ATTTGAACTTCCTCTGTTGAGAATTTTGTTTAAATCTGTGCCCCATTTTTTAACTGGATTATTTGGTAGTTTGATGTCTAGCTTCTTGAGTTCTTTGTACATTTTGGAGATCAGCCTTCTGTCAGACGTGGGGTTGGTGAAGATCTTTTTTCCATTCTGTAGGCTGCCGTTTTTTTTTTGTTGTTGTTGTTGTTGACTGTGTTCTTTGCCTTAAAGAAACTTCTCAGTTTCAGGAGGTCAGGACTTAGACTCAATGGGTGTTGTCTGGAACAGTTTGTAAAAACAGAAAAGGCATCTTCATTACTTTAATAATGTAGCGGGTCAGGACGCAGGAGATCAAAACTCCTTAGATGACTTATTAAGCAAAGACTATCTTCATGGCTCTGTGGTTGGAGCTCTAAGGTGCCACTATTTTCTAAGTAGTCATAGTACTCTGTCAATAGAGTCCTCTTTGGTCATCTAACTAGAGACACTCTCTGAAGCTTGAATGACTGTGTTAGTTCCCATAATCATGAAAAAACAAAGTGAGGAAAGTCATAACAGCTAGTACGGATAGTCACTTGCCAATTTAACTGATTTCATAGGAGCCAGGTGGTCATGGCAGTGGTGCATGCCTATAATCTGAACACTAGGGAGGCAGAAGCAGGTGCATCTCCAAATCCGAGGACAGCCTGGTCTATAAAATGAATTCCAGCACAGCCAGAGCTACACAGAGAAACCCTGTCTTTAAAAAAAAAGGTTATGGTTTAATTGTGAAGTATTTGTGTGCCAATTGTGTTGATTCATTTTTTTTTGTTAATGACACGAACTGGGAAGAGGACACGTCAATTGAGGAATTGCTCTAGCAGGCAGGTGTGTAGTAAGTCCCTTGATTAATTAATGATTGATGTGGGAGGGCCCAGCAAATAGTGGGCAATGACACCCTTAGTCAATTGGGCCTAAGTTGTATAAGAAAAAAGATTGAGAAAGCCATAAAAATCGAGCCAGTAATCAATGTTCCTTCACAGTCTTTACTTCAGCTCCTACCCCGGGCTTCTTGCTCTGATTTTCCTCAGTGACAGACTGTGATATGTCAGGGAAACAAACTTTTTCCTTTCCACATTGCATTTTCTTATGGAGTTTATTACAACAACAGAAAGCAGACTGGGATCTTAGAAGCGCAGTTTCAGAAACAACAGCTTTTTAGTTTGTGCCCCAAATCAGGACTGAGCAGCCATTCAAGCTAATGGGGTGGATGAAGTGAGGATTTCTTTCATGCCCTCCAGAGCTGTCAGTGTTCATCTGATTTCCTTTTGTGGACAGACTAGTTTGGTTTCAACTGAGAATCAGCTTCTCAAGTATTTTAACCTCTTTCATCTCTATTGTTACAGACACACTCAACCTAGCCAGCACATTTGCTTGCATGTTAATTATTTGCTTAAAGGGCTCTTGGTGTGTTCAGACAAGTAACTGATCAGTTTGGAAAACTGCAGGGCAGGTTGAAACAGTACCGATATGAGGGCCGGCTTGTTGGGATATCTGTTCCCGCCCAGTACCCCACAGCCAGCAAGTCCCAGAGAAAATCAATCACACAGAGATCTCTATAAGTTATAAAGATGATTGGCCCATTAGCTCAGGTTTCTTATTAGCTATTATGACTTATATTAACCCATTATTCTGATCTATTTTAGCCATATGGCTTGGTACCTTGTTCAGCTGTCAGCTCACATGTTGCCTCTTCGGTGGTCTGGGCAGGAAAGGCGGAGGGAGCTTCCTGCTTCCCAGAATATTCCTGTTCTCATCGCCCCGCCTATACTTCCTGCCTGGCCAATCAGCGTTTTATTAAAATACATGATTGACAGAATACAGACAATTCTCCCGCACCACTGATACACCCAAACATATCCAGGTCACACAGCTGATGTAAATCCTGTTGAGTTGTGCTGATATTTTGTTTGAAATCTAATAAATTTGCCTGAAGGTCAGAGTGCAAAGCTAAACTGTAGGGGTCGTCCTTCCACGCCACTCACATCCCACGAGTTCCATATTGTCCTAGGGGTTAAAGCACAAGACGCACACACACAGATACAGAGTTCCAGTCATCCTCAAGAAGAGAATGCCCCTTTATTCAACTAAATCCAGGGTTAAAATACCTTTGGCCCCAGTAAAGGAAAACTCCGCCCACCCAGGGACGCCATCTGTAAGAGTCAGCACTTTCCAATGGATACCCACGCCCGACCCAGGCTGTGCGCTTCCTGAACTCAGGCCCACGAGCAGGGACGATTGTCCTGAGGGTTGAAAAAGAGACACACACAAAAGAGACCTTTGCTCATTCACAAGAGTAAATGGCAACTTTATTAAACTCAAGTCAGGTGGCTTCTACCAGTGGGCTAGAAGGATCGAAAATGCAAGGCCTCCTCCCAACCAGAAGCAGGAGAAGATTAAAGCTTCCCGGCCCCTCAGGCAGGGTCAGCTAGGGGAGGCAGGCTATCGGCCCACTGCTAAGACCTTGAATACAAGTGGAATCACCATAACAAACAGAACCAGGTTCTAGCTAGGTTATCCCCTCAAGCCAGAGCTAGTGCAGAGTCTCTAGGAAGCCGGAGGTCACACGGCCCTGCGAATTGCCAGGAGAAGGGAAAAACCTTGGCAGCTACACTAAACCACTAGTTAGTCATAGAGGCCAGGTAGTGGTGGTACACACCTTTAATCCCAGCACTGGGGAGTCAGAGGCAGATGGTTCTCTGTGAGATCAAGGCCACCCTGGGCTATATGAAATTGATCCAGTCTAAAAGAGAAAAGGAGCCAGGCAGTAGTGGCTCACACCTTTAATCCCAGCAATAGGGAGGTGGAGACAGGAATGAAATGGCTGGGTAGAGGAGACAGAATTCAGTCTAAAGATTCATAGAGAGATGATTGCCCCTTCAGTTTGGGCATTAGTAGAGGTTAGAACTCTAGTGGCTGACTGTTCTGCTTCTCTGATCCTTCAGTTCTCACCGGTGATAGCTACTCTGAGATTTTATTAAGACCAATTAGAATTTGTGCTACTTCCATATGTGTGTTGTAGTAAAAAAAATAGAATTTGTGCTACACTGAGTAAACCTCTATCAATAGTGTCTTAAATTCACATTTTTAGACAGGTCAAGCTGCTGCATTATAGTTGGCTTGTTTCTGCAGACCTAGTTCATCCATGATTTGTATGTGTATGTCTGTATGGTATATGTGTGTGGTACATGTATGAGTATCCAAGTGTATGACTGTAAATGCACATGGGGAGGCCAGAGTGGGAGGGATCTCATGTGTTGTCTGTTGGCTCTTGCATCTTTAATGCCTTAAGTAAATGATAATACCTGTCTGGGTACCACTAAGCTGATGGGTATTAGATCCCAATAAAGCAGGTACTCAACACAGAGTCAAGGATTTGTCTCAAGATACAACTCAAGGGGGTAATATGAGAACCAAAGTTACATTTTAAGTTTTAATTACTGTGCCTAAGAGATCCATGAAACAATGCCTCAGATCTGCAAGCCCCCCTTGCCCAAGGACAGACAGTTCCTGAAATGCTGGAGGCTGTTGTTTATGAGATAGCAAGCCACGTGTTTTCACTCCCCTAAACAAGTTTTTTCACGCATTTGCACTGGATGTGCTTGATCATATGTAGGAGGGAGGTTTATGCATGCCCTATTGGAAACACTTAAGCCACTATAAACCATGTCTCAGGGCCATTTTCTGGAAATCCAGAGATGGACCTGGTCTGAGCTCATCTACCTGGCCAGTATTTAATTAAAGCTAGATTTGGTTTTAAATTGTGGTCTTATTCTCAACTGGTGGGATTAACAAGAGTTCTCCATCTCATTGCCTTGGCACACAAAGACCCTGTTGTGAGTGACTGTCCAAGCCAATCACCATCTTGGGGAGTTTAGTAGTGACCCCTTGCAAATAATCAGTCCAGTTGGGCTGACTGATGTTATACACACACACACACACACACACACACACACACACACACGCAAGTACTCATGAATGCAAAAGACTCACCTGAGTTTCTGCTCCCTTCAACCTGATAATGCTGCAGGTGGCCTGGTGGAGGGGCTACAGTGTGTGTGTGTGTATGTATGGTCTATATGCATGCCAGAAGACTAGAGTAGAGGTTCAGTCTATGTAGCTACAGGCAGAAGCCCTTAACCCGGCTGGGTAAGGCTTCCCAGTTGTTGGAGGAAGAAGAATGCCCATAATCCTAGGGAACCCCAATAAATGACTTGGTTCTACAGAGTGAAGTTGTAGCTATCAAGCAGAGGGTAGAAAACCCACTGCTAACCTTTGCCTCCTGTTTCACAAATACTCTCTCTGTAATAGTTTGAGCTCCCCCTTGACCACCTGGCTGCTTGTGCTATGATGGCGGAGCTCAGCAGTTACAACAGAACCCCTAGAGTCCATTAAGCCAAAGTTCACCGTGGGAAACCAATGAGTTTACTGAAGTTCCTTATAGATCATGGGTGACCCTGAAGCAGTGCATAGCAAGGTCAGCACCTAGCATGGATGATGACTTCCTCATTGCTCCCAGTTCTTCCCTTGTGGGAACGGGCTGGGAGGAATAGCGGGATAATAGGGGATGTCAACAGCTAACAACCTGAGCGCTGGTGATCGTCTCCAAGCAAGCACAGTTGAACTCTTGAAGATGGCATCTCTCTGGATCAGAGGATAGATTGTAGAGAGCTATCAGGTGGGTCTCCTCTTCACCACTGGCCTAGGTTGGGTGCACGCTGTATCACACATCTGATGAGTAATTGAGCACCCATGCTCTGACAGGTACTATGTACTTTGCCAGCCATTAGTATCTGAGCCATACACTGAATTGAAATGATAAGAAATGGCTAAACTCTATCTATTCACTTTGCCTCTTTCCCCTCACTTTCTGTAGTGATGGGGACAAAATCCAGGGCTTTCCATATGCCAGACAAGTGATCTACCCTGAGCTATGCCATAGACCCCATGTCTATTTCCAATTAGCAGAAGCCAGAAAAGAAATACAGAAAGTTTATTTTTTATAATTTTAAATTAGCAGCTAGAAGGGATTCTTGCTCAACTGGATATTTTCTTCAATGTTTGAAAAGTATTTCATCTTTGTTAGAATTTCCTTGGCTTTTTCAAAATCACCTGAAATAAACAAGAGACAGTGATATCAGGCAGCAATACAAACAACTCTGGCATTTCAGGCTGCCAGACCAAAGGGTCCAAAGGTTGATGGCTTCACCTGAGGGTGAATGCACCCTATAGCAACATTTGCCAAAGTCTAGGGATATTTTTGTCTGCAATAACCAGGGAAATAGAAGTGAGACCTACTTGGTAAAAGCCAGAGACTCTGTGAAAGACCTTAGCCTCCCCCAGCAAAAATATTATTTCACTCAGAAATGTCAATAAGGTTGAGAAATCTCAACTTAGACAAATGCAACACAGTATAATGTGCCCTAAATGAAGATCTTTTGTAGTTAACCCTGGGAATAGTAAATATTAAAAACAATAATAAATTAATCAATGAAAAAAAATAACAGGGCTGGGGAGATGATGATCCCTTCAGCATGAAGGTATTTGCTGCCCACTGAAGCCAGCTGACAGCCTTGAAGAACATAATTAATCAAAAAAAATATGATAAACTAGTATATAGAAAATATGGAAGATTGTTGTGGAATATTATTTTAAGATGTCTTACATTCATTTATGCTGTGGAATATTTGTTTAATGATGCAAATATGAGTTGCATTCCTTCATGTGGACTTGTTTAACTCTGAAAAGCTGTGTTACTTTGCCTGCCTAAAATACTTGATGGAACGGCCAATAGTAAGACAGGAGAAAAAATAGGTGGGACTGGCAGGCAGAAAGAATAAATAGGAGGAATCTGGGAAGAGGAGATCAAGGAAAAAGAAAGAGGAGAAGAAGAGGACTCCAGGGCCAGCTATCCAGCTACATAGTAAGAAGTACAGAAGGGTTTATAGAAAGATAATAGCCCAGAGGCAAAAAATAAGTGGGATAATTTAGGTTAAGAAAAGCTGGCTAGAAACAAGCTAAGCTAAGGCCAGGCATTCATTCATAAGTAAGAAAAACTTACTGTGTGTGATTATTTGGGAGCCAGGTGACGGATCCCCCAAAGAGTCTAAAGAGTTCAAAACAAGGGCTGGAGAGATGGCTCAGAGGTTAAGAGCATTGCCTGCTCTTCCAAAGGTCCTGAGTTCAATTCCCAGCAACCATATAGTGGCTCACAACCATCTGGATTGGAGTCTGGTGCCCTCTTCTGGCCTGCAGGCATACATACACACACAGATAGACTATTGTATACATAATAAATAAATAAATATTTGGGAAAAAAAAGAGTTCAAAACAAAACAAAACAAAAACCAGAAAACAAAGGATCTACCAGTAAGTCCACTTAGAATAGTGGATCTCAGCTGTGGGTCGTGATCCCTTTGAGAGCCTAATGACCCTTTCACAAGGGTCATTTAAGATTAACAGAATTATTAGTTATTTACATTATGATTCATTAACAGTAGCAAACTTACAGATATGAAGTAGCAATGAAAATAATTTCATGGCCAGGTGGCAGTGGCACACACTTAAAAATCCCAGCACTAAAGAGGAAGAGGCAGGTAGATCTCTGAGGGTTTGAGGCCAGCCTGGTCTACAGAGCAAGTTCCAGGATAGCCAAAGTTACACTGTATATATAATAAATAAATAAAATAAAAAAAAGAAAAGAAAAACCAGCAACCAAAGCAACAACAACAACAAAAAAAAAAAACCCAAAAACTTACGGACAGGGTGACAACCACACGAGGAACTGTATTAAAGGGCTGTGGCATTAGCAAGGATGAGAACCACTGGCTTAGAGAAAATTAAGTTACATGGAAGCAAACTGTAGATGATCTCTCATACCAGACCATTGTTAGGGCCCCATCAAGTCAAATGTGGGCATATATACCTTTAATCCCAGCACTCAGGAGGAAGAGGCAAGCAGTATGAGTTGAGGCCAGCTTGGTCTACATAGAGAGTTCCAATCAGCCAGGTTTATCGAGAGAGATATTGTCTCAAAAACAAACAAACAAACAAACAAACAAACAAACAAACAAATAAACGGAGATGGCTGAGCAGTTAAGAGCATTGATCTGGGTTTAATTCCCAGCACCCATGTGGAAGCTACCAACTATCTTAACTCCAAGATAATGACACCCTCACACAGACATACATGCAGGCAAAACACCAATGCAATAAGATAAAAATAAAACAAAGGCAAAAAAATCCTAAACTGTACGTGCATGCTGGCCCAAAGTTTTGGACTTCCCCTTTCTCTGTAACCTTCTGTTGCTTCCAAATCACTCTCTTCCTCATTGCTACCCAAGTTTTCTATTTTGTAAAAGATATGAATTTATTAATATGTGAAGTTACTTAACATGTATTAAAGGAAGGGGATTCTCTAACCCTGGGAGAAAGCCTCAATGTTTATATTTTATAAACATTGTTTTACATTTAATAAAGTGAAAGGGTTAGAGAGATAGATCAGTGGTTAAGAACACTTGTTACTCTTGCAGAGGACCTAGGTTCAATTTCTAGTACCCGGGAATCCAAAGCACCAGGCACACACGTGGCACACACACACATATACAGGCAAAGCACTTTCACAGATAAATAATATTTTTTAAAAAATGATTTATTGGGGCTGGAGAGATGGCTCACTGGTTAAGGGCACTGACTGTTCTTCCAGAGGTTCTGAGTTCAATTCCCAGCAACCACATGGTGGCTCACAGCCATCTATAATGAGATCTGGTGCCCTCTCCTGGCATGCATCCATGGAAGGAATGTGGTATACATAATAAACAAATAAATATAAAAAAAAATGATTTATTTATTTATTTATTACGTATACAATGCTCTATCTGCATGTTTGCCTGTAGGCCAGAAGAGGGCATCAGATCTCATTACAGATGGTTGTGAGCCACCTTGAGGTTGCTGGGAATTGAACTCAGGACCTCTACAAGAACAGTTTATGCTCTTAACCTCTGAGTCATTTCTCCAGACCAATGAGAAAAAAAAAATTAAGTGAAGAAAAAAAAATAAAAGTTAATAAGTCAAGTTTAAAAGGCCCAGTGAGACAGGCCGGTGGGTAAAGGCTCTTGTTGATGAACCCGACAGCTTGAGTTTAATTCCCAGAGACCACATGGTAGAAGAGACATGGCTCTTGAAAGGTGTCCTCTGATCTTTTCATGCATAACACTGACACACACACACACTGCATAAATGTGTCCTCTGATCTTCTCATGCATGACACACACACACACACATTACGTAAATGTAATAGGAAATTTTAAAAAGGAATGAAATACCTTGTTCAAAAGCTCTGTTTACATTGTCAGTAAATTCTTTCTGTTTAGCTGAAAAAGAAAATAATTATTTTAATTTTTCTTTTTAAATAAACTTACAGTAAAGCCAGGTGGTGGTGGGGAACACCTGTAATCCCAGAACTCAGGAGGCAGAGGCAGGTGGATCTCTGAGTTTGAGGCCAGTCTGGTCTACAAAGCAAGTTCCTGGACAGTCAGAGACATACAGAGAAACCCTGTCTTGAAAAGCCCCAGCCCCTAAAAAAAGAATGGAAAAAAGTAGACTTACAACATGAAGGCAACACTTTTGTGACCATGCCGCTCTATACACAAGGACTGGGGTTCAAGGCATTACAGCCTTTGTGTTCTTGTGGTGCTGAGGATTGTACTAAGGCCTTATATATGTCATGCAAAGTCTCTACTACTGAGCTACATTCTGTACTTGAATTTTATTTTTTCTGCCTGTGAGCCAGAAGAGGGCACCAGAGCTCATTACAGATGGCTGTGAGCCATTATGTGGTTGCTGGGAATTGAACTCAGGACATCTGGAAGAGCAGTCAGCTCTGCTCTTGGCTAGTCTTGAACTTACTCTTCTTCTGCATCTTCCTCTTGACTGCTGAGATTATAAGTATTTGCTATCATACCTGCCTTGCAGCTCTGATAGTACTGACAGGCCCTATAAACATTCTATTTTTCAGTCAAGGAAGGTCTGGAGACAAACGCCAAGGCTTATAAAGTGGCCATGGAATCACATAAGAAAAAAAAGAATGACGGGTGAGATTATCATAGTTTGGATGTCCCTCAAATGGTCTGGGTGTTAAAGGCTTGGCTGGTGACTAGTTTTGCTAATAGAAGGAAGTGAACACTTCAGGAGGCAGGGCCTAGTGGAAGGATGTTAGGACATTATAGACATGTCCTGGAAAGGGATCCTGGGAAACAGGTTCTGTTATTTCTCACTTTGGCTAGCTGCCATGTTCATTGCCTCCTCCACTCTGTATTCTTGCCACAGTCCCAGGACCAACTGGGCCAATCCACGATGGACTAAACCTCTGAAACTGAGTCAGAAGAAAGCTTTTCTTTTCATTTCAGGGATTGTAGTGAGAATGATTGTTGTGATGGAAAAATAAGCAACACAGAAATCAGGGATAGGCTTTGACTATCTCTACTTCAGTCTTCCATACTTTAACACACTTCCATCATGACATTTATTGCCATTCACTACCACATGTTTTAGGCAATCACCTGCAAATTATATAGCCATCCAGGAAAACGATATTATTTCCCTTACATTCTATCTTAGAAGAGAACACTACCAAATGCAACAAGCAGGCACAGCAACCTCATTTCCTATTGTTTCTCATTAGAAAATGAGGGATTTTTACAAGGATGCCTTTCAGATGTATCTCCAAGGTAGGCAATGGCAGGTATGGAATTCTCCCTTAGGCACATGGCCTGTGAGTGTAAAAGCTGGAGACTGAATCCCAGGGGAACAATTTAGGAACTGATCTAAAAAAGGACAGTAAGTCACCCAGACAAAGCTGCTAGAAGTGTTCCACATGCTTTGCCTGTGTCTCACTAACTTTATTTAATCCTTGGGGTACTGACCTAACACTCTCCAGTTATAGATGAAGAGATGAATAACTGAGGCTCAGACACCCGAAGCCACTGTTTAAGATCACACAGAAAATCAACACCAGAGTTGGGTCTGATCCTCACTTCTGAAGCTTTATGCCTGAAGCTTCTGGAGGAGGTAGCTGACTTCTGCCTTGATGCTCAGCACTTGTATTCACTGTTGTGACGTATTTAACAGCATTAGCTGAGTCCCTGCCATGCTTCAGGTGCTTTTCTGAGAGGGAAGCCAAGAAGAGGAGACACAAGTTACACTTTTGCAGAGACCAAGGATGGGGGGTCCACACTGCAGACAACAGTAAAATGATCACTGTGGCCAAAGGAAGCTTCATGAGAGTGATGACTGCTCTCAGATCCGGGAGAGGATGGGATGGGATGGGATAAAAATGTGAGAGTTTCAGGTCACATCAATAGTGCTCACAGAGGCCTGGGGTAGAAGGGTGTCTGTGACTGATGAGGAAATGGAAACTGCCAATGTGGCTACAGTAAGACAAAATGAAAAGCAGAGGGTAGGACATGCAGAGCCCTGGTAGCTAGGTTGAAATGTTTGGTTTTAAACTTAAGAGCAGCAAAAATCCATTTAAAAGGTTTTAGAAAAGACTCTGAACAGTGATTAGATTTAAGATCACCCCATAGTGACAGGGCAGATATATTTTAGATGGGCTTCCAGGTACAAGCATCTGAAGCTACTGTGGTAGGTAAGAAGTGAGAATAGGCTGCAGGTAGTGAAAAGATATGAAGTTGAGACATATTTAGGGCTTTTTTTTTTTTAAAGAAAAAAAACTATTTCTTTACATGTGTTTGCAGCTGAGGGGTATGTGTATGCCATGGTATGAATGTGGAGACGCAGGTTGTCAGACTTGGTAGCAAGCACCTTAACCACTGAACAATCCTGCTGGCTTTAGGTCTATCCTTTCAAGAAAATATTTTTCTTTACTTATTTATGTGTATGTTTGTATGTCTATTTAACTGTATCACATATGTGCTCCAGAATCCATGGAGGCCAGACAATGGCACTTATAATTCCAGTAAAGGATGGCTGTTTACCAGTGTGGATGCTGGGAACTGAACCTGGTTCTCTCCAAGAGCACTTGATGTTCTCATCCCAAGTCACCTCTCCAATCCACCCTAGGTCTAATGTTTACACTTTTAAATAAACTAACTGTGAGCACACAGCTGAGTAAGTTTTTCCTGTTTTGTTTTTTGAGACAGGGCTCAGATATAGCCCAGGCTTTCTTGGAAACTGTGATGTAGGTTAGGCTAGCCTTGAACTCCTGATCCTTTTGCTCCCATTCTTCCAAGAACTGGGATTACAGGCATGTATAATTGCACCTAACATAAGCTTGTTAAAGACAACTCAGTGTTTATCATGAATTCTATTTGGACATACTGAATTGGAATATATAAGCACTTTTTCTTTGCTATATCCATAGGCACACACAATGCTTGATCCACAATAGGCATATTGTAAATTTTTTTGTGAATGTACTTAAGCTCATAGCTACATGAGAATCCTGGAGCCTTTTTTCCCCCCCTTCTCTCAATCTCTCTCTCTTTTTTTTTTTGTTTTTTTCAAGACAGGGTTTCTCTGTAGTTTTGGAGCCTATTCTGGAACTCAAGATCAGGCTGGCCTTGAACTCAAGAGATCTGCCTGTCACTGCCTCCAAAGTGCTGGAATTAAAGGCATGTGCCATCACCATCCAGCTTTGTGGAGCCTTTTCTACATGAAATGGTTAATTTTATATGACAATCTGGACAGGCTATGATACTCACTTGTTGGTGGTGATGTGATTGTGGCTGCAGTAACATTTACAGTTAGTTCAGAGTACTTAAAGATGACCCTTATGCTGGCAAGACTTGTGTCAACTTGACACAAGTTAGAGTCATCTGAGAGGAGTGAACCTCAATTGAGAAAATACCTCAATAATATTGGGCTTTTGTAAAAAGATGATTTATTTTTATTTAATGTGAATTGGTATTTTGCCTGCATGTGTGTGAGGGCACTGGATCCCCTGGAACTGGAGCTACAGACAGTTGTAAACTGCCATGTAGGGGCTGGGAATTGAGTCTCTGGTAAAAAGCAGTTAGTTCTCTTATCTGTTAAGCCATTACTCTGACCCCAGGGTATTTTCCTAACTAATGATTGACTTGGGAGGGCCTGGCCATTGTGGGTGGTGGCAGCCCTGGGCAGGTGGCTCTGGGTTCTTGCCTTCCTCAGGTTGAATACAAGGGAGGTGCTTTGTCTTATAGCAATATGTCATGCTTTGCTGATGCCCCTTTCTGAGCAAACACAGGAGGGGTAGATTGGGGGGTGGCAAAGGGAAGGTGGGAGGAGGGAGTGGGAAGAGATGAGGGAGGGGAGGCTGCAGTGGGGATGTAAAACAAATTAATTAATTAAAAAAAAAAAGAAAAAAAGCCGAGCAAGCCAGGGTGATCAAGCCAGTAAATATCATTTCTATATGGCTTCTGCTCCAGATTCCTGCCCTGAACTCCCTCAAAGATGGACTGTTACTCTGAACTATAAGTATTAATTTCAATAAACCATAAACCCCTTCCTCTCCAAGTTGCTTTTGGTCATTATGTTTTATCATAGCAACAGAAATCCTAACTATGACAACTCTCAACACTGTGATAGAGTCTCATTCAATTAAGTAAGGTCATTATGTGCAAAAACGGGGATCCAAAAGAAGGAATTCTGCTTGAATACTGTGACACAGAATAGCCGAGTACGTGGAGGCAATAGAATCAGCTTAAAGTCATCCCAAGTTTTATAATGAATTTAAGGCCAACCTAGGATATATAAGCCTATCCAGAAGATAAACAAATGAAAAATTTAACAAACCCTGTAACATAGAGGGTATGTTTAGTTGTTGAGCACTTAGCAGGTGTTAAGTCCTTGGTTTATATCCTGAGCACTCACAAGAAACATATTCAAGACTGTGACATAAAAATCCAACCTGATGCCAGGCTGTGGTGGCACAAGTCTTTAACCCCAGCACTCGAGAGGCAGAGGCAGGCGAATCTCTGTGATTCCAAGGCCAGCCTGGTCTGCAGAGTGAGTTTCAGTACAGGCTCCCAAGCTATATGAGAAACAATCACCAAAAAAATCCAACCTGAGTTTTTAGCCTATTGTCCTGTCCTATAGATTGTGTGTGTGCGCGCATGTGCGCATGTATGTAATGTGTTTGCAGGTGCACACGTGCACGTCTGAGTGTATGTGCCTGTGCAAGTGTGTCAAGGTCAGAGTCATTCGAGTGGTATTCTTCAGGCGCCACCCACCTTTAAAATTTAAAAAAATGGCATTTACTTAGCAAGAGAGTGAGAGAGTGAGAGAGCACCTGTGTGAAGCCAGGGAGTACTTATGGGAGTCATGTGGACTGAACTTGAGTCCTTACGGTTGTGTGGGAAGCACACATGTACAAAACCACCTTCCCACTTCAGATCTCGCTTGCAGTTTCTGTGTCAGCTTCCACACACACATCTGGGCCAATTCTGTAAAATAAACAGACCTATACTCTACTGGCGAACCTTGACTGATACACAGTGGAATGAAAGGAAAAGTAAAGCAGGTGAGACCATATGTCAGGGGTTCAGGGCTTGCCCCGCTGCAGATCTTCATGTGTTTGAAGGCATTTCTGAGGCTCATTTCCCTACTAAAGATGACCAGGAAACAAAGAACTCCTTGAATGACGATGAGGGCCAACAAATGCTTTTCGACTCATTTCTCCTGTCCTGTGCTCCCAAGAGCAAAAAAGCATGTGTGAGAATTTCATCTATTACCTCTGACAGTGGATTTTATCTCTTCAATGGCAGCCTCACTTTGAGCGTGTGCAAGTTTCTCATTGATTTCCATTATTTCCACAAGGAATTGACTGTCTGTTCCATAGTCTGTCCCTTCAGGGATTTCTATTCCTTGGAGCTTTAGCTATTGGGGAGGAGAATAAGAAAAATGAAACAGATCAGGGTCATGTAAGTTCTGCTCACCCCTTCAGAATACTCTGATGGTCATAGGGGAAAATGTGAATATTGGTTGGAGAGGGAGCTTAGAGCATAATGCATGCTAAGTAAGCCCTCTACCACTGAGTCACATGTCCAGCCTGGAGAACCTGAGCTTTCCTAGGAGACTGAGCCAAGAATGCTCACTTATTTTGTGCCATCAGCAGCTGGGCCCTGGATATTCATAAATTCTACTCAATATTAAAATTGCCTAGATGTTCTTGCAAAAAACTCCCCAAGTACTCTTACTATCATCAAATTTATAGAAAATAGTTAAAACAATAAAACCAGGGAAAGTTAAGATATACAAAAGGATCCAGGTCTGGTGGTTCATCTGCATCCCCTGGTACTCAGGAGGCTGAGGCAGGGAAATCACAGGTCCAAGTTCAGCCTGGGCAGCTAAGTGAGACCCTGTTTTAAAAAGTAAAAAGGTGGCTGGGTGGTGGAGACACACACCTTTAATCCCAGCACTTGGGAGGCAGAGGCAGGCAGATCTCTGTGAGTTCGAGGCCAGTCTGGTCTACAAGAGCTAGTTCCAGGAAGAGGTGCCAAAGCTACAGAAAAACCTTGTCTCGAAAAAGTAAAATGGCAGCTGGGGATACGGTTCAATGGATGCTAAACCTAGCACCCACCCCCCAAATAAAACTCAAAACCCAAAACCAAACAATCCCCCCCCCAAAAAAACCCCTCAAACCAAAGAAAAACCCAGTGATTATCAGACACAGGCCATGGCTCAGTGGCAAAGAACACTTATTTACTTAGCATGAGGCACTAGGTTCAATGCCCAGTACTGAAAAAAAAAAAGGAGCTGGATGTGGGTGACCTGAAGCAAGACAATTACAAAAGAAACAAAACCAAGCAAAATGGATTTGCAAAGAATACTATGAAAACTATATTTGTATAGAATCTTTTTTTTTTTCTTTTGTAGTATTTTTTGAGGCTAAACATCATTAGCTTCCTGGACTAGGCCAGGTCTCATACAGAGGAAGCTACATACAGATGGGTTGGGAAATCACCTTACAAGGTATAGTCCCCGGCTCAGGGGAGCCTGAAGAGTCTTATAGGCATCATTCAGTAGGGCCGAATGCTTCTGTGAGAGGTGTTTTTCAGTCTGTTCATAGAGATAAAAAGAATTTTATTACCACAAGAGTCAGTTGTCTTTGATTCCCAACCGCTTAAAATAAGTGATTTAAGGAGTATGGCTAGAATTAGAACTGGTGTTAGATGACTAGTCTGTATTTTCTTTTTTTTCCAAAAATTTATTTACTTATTTGTGTGTACGTGTGTCCATAAATGTTAGAGGAGGATATTGGATAGATCTCCTGGAACTGGAACCACAATGGTTGTGAGCATCATGTGGGTGCTGGGAATCGAACTTGGGTCCTGTGGAACAGCACCCAATGCCCGTAACCACTAAACCATCTTTGCAGCCCCCTTTCGAACTTTATTATTATTTTATGTACATTGGGGTTTTGCCTGCATGTATGTGTAAGAATGCCAGATTCCCGGAACTGGAGTTACTGACAGTTGTGAACTGCCATGTGGGTGCTGGGAATTGAACGCGGGTCCTTTGGAAGAACACTCAGTGCTCTAAACTGCTGAGCCATCTCTCCAGTTCCCAGTATAGTCTGTATTTTCAAGGCTGGGTTTCCAGTTATCAGAAGTCAGATAAAAGCTCAAAGAAATGACATCTCTGGGGGTTGGCTGCCACAGGGTGGCGCTAGTAGTCCAACAGTTTCCCAGATCAACGCAGCCACCCACCCAGTTGCACACAGATATGGGGACTATTAGGGGTGGTCAGTGAGTACCTGAGACTTTTGGCTGAAGAAATCTGGATGGATGAGACATTGTAGTTGATGGTACCTGTGCTTAAGTTTCACGATGTCAACCTTGAAGGATCGTTGACTGGAAGGAAACCAGATGTTATACATGCAACAGTATTTAGAGTTATTTACTATGGTCTGGTTCTGCTTGTGGGGAAGATGTAATAAACATAAAACAAAAGTTATTTTTAAGACACAGCCATAATGAAGGAAAATAGAACAGGATCAGAATAGGTAATATATGTATGACATTTGAGAGATGTGAATGGTGCTACTACTGAATGATTTAAGATCAGAAAGGGACATGAGTGCAGAGACCCTGAACTGAAGGGAAGATTAAAAGCTTGACAAATTAAGGGCTAAGGTAGTGTGGTCCATTGTAAGCACTCAGTGTCTGAGTGTCTGATGAAAATGTGTTCCAGAGTTTGGAGTACTTGCCCAACCTGTATGTTCCTTAATTTCTTTGTGTGTGTGTGTGTGTGTGTGTGTGTTGAAGACTGAATCTAGGGTCTCCTGCATGCTGGGCAAGGACTTTAGCACCAAGTCGCTCTCTTCCCTCCTTCCCCCACGAGACCTCTTTTTACCTTTTGAGACAGAGTCTCTCCCTGCCCCCCCCCCCCCAATTAGGGTATCTCTGTATAACATTCCTGGATGTCCTGAAACTTGCTTTGTAGACCAGGCTGGGTTTGAACTCACTGCAATCCACGTGTCTCTGCCTCCTCCCAAGTGCTGGGGATAAAAGGCCTGAACCACCATCATCCAGTGAGACAAAGTCTCTTAACTAAGGTAACTCTATGGTCCAGGCAGGCTTTGACTTGCAAAAAGCCTACTTTAGTCTCCCTGATCACTGGGATTGCAGATCTGTCACCAGGCCTAGAGCCTTGGCATTAAAAAAGAAAAAGTGTGTGTGTTTGAGAGAGAAAAGGTTAGCATCAAACTTGCTATAATGACTAAGAATGAGACCTACAACTCTGGATCTTCCTACCTTCTCCCTGCAAATGCAAGGATTATAAGATTTATGACAATAAACCCAGTTTACCAGCTTAACTTAAAAAAAAGGTTGAGTTGAGTGTTGCTAAATTGTTCAGTGCTGAAATTTTTTTGATCCTTCTTTAGCTTTCTGAGCAGTTAGTGTTATAGGTAGACTATCACACTGAGCCATTAATACCTAGAAGCAGGTGTTTTTTTTTTTTTAATGATAGTACTGGGATTCTAACCAAGGCTCTTGGTATTGCAAAGGAAGTATTATACATTGAGCCAAAGCACTCACTTCTTTCTTTTTTGGGGAGTGGTGTTGTTGGGGGAGTCAGACTGTGAATCTGTATAGCCCAGACTGTCAGATCCTCTTGCTTTTGGCTAGAGGGCAGGACCATAGGTGTGCACAACCATACCTTGCTCTACATTTTACTTTAATCTAATCTTTATTAGTTCAGCTCTGCTCACACTTGCGTACCAATCTGCAGAAGGCAGGGAGGAAAACACACCAAACATTTCTTGGTCTCTCTCTGTCAATCTTGAGCCTGAATTAAAATTTTTTATTTATTTATTTATTTTTTACTTGTACTCACTTTTAATAATGATATACCATAAAAAACAGCATACCAATCATTTTAAAGGAAGATGTTACTTTTGCATGTTGTCTGACTTAAAATTTTGGTTTTTTTGAGACAGGGTACAAGTTGCGACCCTTCTTCATCCCTGAACACTGGGATTCCAGACATATGCCACCACACTTCATTTATTTCTGATACAGAATTTCTTTGTATAGCTGTGGCTATACTGGAACTCGCTCTGTAGACCAGACTGCCTTGAACTCAGAGATCTGCCTACCTCTCCCTCCTGATTGCTGGGATTAAAGGTGTGTTCCACCACCCACCACTGACCAGCAGTTTGTTTTATTAATTGCTTTTGATTTTTTAGACTTAGTCTCATGTAGTCAGACTCTCAAATTTGCTGTATAGCTCAGGTTGCCCTCAGATTTGCAATCCTCCTGTACTTCTGAGTGCTGCGCTCAGTCATGCACCAACACACCTGGCTTCTTTTAGTTTTATTTTCTCCCTTAAAATACTTACTTATTTGAGATGAAATGTTCCCTAATTTTGTGGTTGGATTCCAACTGGGAATCTTTCTACCTCAGTCTAGCATGCATGTAATCCCAGTAGTGGGGGAGTAGGGGCAGGTGGATGTTTGTGAGCTCCAGACCAGGAAGAACTAAAGGTTTTTGTTTTGTTTTGTTTTGTTTTTCTCCCTGAGACAGTTTTTCTCTGTAGCATCGGAGCCTGTACTGGAACTCGCTCGGTGTGACCAGACTGGCCTTGAACTCAGAAAGATCCGCCCGTCTTTGCCCCAGTGTGGGATTAAAGGCGTGCACCACCACTGGGCAGCCAAGGCTGTTAAAACAAACAAAAACAAAAACCCCCAAACTCTCCTTTCTGCTCCCTAGAGTTCAGCCTCTGTCTGAACTTCCTTTTTTCCGGGAGTCTCGCTGTAATGGTCAGTCCTGTCCCTTTAAGAGACAAGCCCCCTCGTGATCTAGGGACAGCCCCTGCAGCATTTCCGCCATGGCGCCCCTCGGGCGACCTGCAGCTTTTTACTTAAATCATAACACCTGCCCCTCAAACATCCCTATAATGTAAACTTGTGCCTGTTCCCCTTTGTTGTTGTTGCTGATGTTTAAAAACAGTACTTTGGCAGCAGAGGCTAGTCCTGCCGGCCCCCACTTCCCGAGTGCTGTCAGGGGTCCCAGGGACCCACAGCAAATCCATTACACTATATACTTATCCATTTTTCCTTAACTTATTTGGAATCAGTCTCGGTAAGTTGCCTAAACTGGCCTGGAACTGTGGTCCTCTTGCCTCAGTCTCCCGGTTGGCTGGAAAAGAAATTACAAACCCGCCGGCACAGATCCAAATCTTGGTCACTAGGGTAACGTCTGCCTAATTTTACTAACTCGGCCAACCGAACTTCCCAAGGCCGGCTCGCCCTCCCATCACTCCGCGCCGCTCGTACCAATTCATGAGGCTGAAGTAGTCCCGAGTCGGGTCAGGAGGCTGCAACGCGCGGCAGTGTTCGCAGAAGAAACCATCCCCACTCTTCACACACCCTGCACTGCCGCAGTTCCAGCACTGCCGCGCCTCGCTCTTCCCCGAGGCAGCATTGGTGCTCAGCAAGCTCCTACCCAGGAACCCAGACAGTCGCACCTCCCACACGCAAAGCAAAGCCCGGGCGCCAGAGCTCCACATTCGGACAGCCGCCTGTCTGGCCTGGGTCTTCGCAACCAGGGGAAAGAAAAAGAGAGTGGCTCGTTGCTGATTGGTTAGGGAGCCGAGGAGGCGGGATCAGTCGCGGGAAACTAGGATACCGAGTTCCGTTCTGCATTCTAAACTACAATTCCCAGTAAGTCTTGAGGCTACGTGTTATAACCGCATTTGTGTCTTCTTATTGGGCCTGCCGAGGAGGAAGACGTTTTGATTGGCCGAGGGTGGAGTTTGTATGGTAGGTTTAGCGCCACACCACTGGTTGCGGCTGTGGGGTGTTTGTGGCTCCAGGTGTTGTTTCGCGGTGAGTTTTAGCGGGAAATTTTTCTTGAGTGTTTGAAAATTCCAAACGGGTTCTCAGGGTCTTATGCAAGGGAATCCTCCGCAGCTTCCGCTTTATCTGCCTAGTTGTGTGTGCGAGAAGGCGCTGTGCGCAGGCTGCTCTTCCTCTTTTAGCTGCTCTTCGAGGAGCTAAAAATTCTTTCCATGTTACTTGCAAGCTGAAACAGGTCTGGACACATGGGAAGGCACAGAGTTGAGTTCTTCAGTAGCATAGCGAAGTAGTTTCGTAGTGAGTATTATAAATGTTAGTGATCATGCCAGGCCCTTGATTCATTCTTTCCAAATAGTTACTGAGAACCCAGTCTTCGCTGCTAAGCTCTGCAGAAACTGGAGAGGGTAAGCAAGTTTGTGGGGTGGAGTGGCAAGGAGGCAACCAGCCATTCTCAGCTTCTGTACATAAAGGAAAGGCCATTTACACATAAATCTGTGTAAGTGGCCGATAAACTATTCATAATCCTGGAATTTTGCTGTGATCACTTTGATTTTGTTTGTTTGTTTGTTTCGCTCATCAACGGTCCTGCCTTTCTGAGATAGGTGGTCATAATATGCCTGTTCCTTTAAAAAATTTTTTATTTTTTAAAGTCATGTTTGTTAAGTCCGTGCAGTGCGCACGGAGGCCAGCAGAGGGCATTGTATTCCAAGAGCCAGAATTGCAGGTATTTGTGCTTTCCTGGAGGTGTGTGCTGGGATGTCTCTCCAGCCCCTTCATATAACCCATTCTTCATTTTGTACGTTTGGTGTTACTGCGCGTGGAATCCAGGACTTTGCATCCGTTAGAGAAGTTATCTACCATTGAGTATTATCCACATTCACTTATCTTTGAGTAAAGATTTATTTTATTTTAATTATGTTATGTGTGTGGGAGTGTGCACATGTGAGTGCAGGTGATTGCAGAGGCCAAGAGTGGGCTTCAGACCACTGGAATTGGAGTTCCAGGCAATCTTGAACTGTGCTGGGAACAAGAATAGTATGTGTTTTCCTGCTGAGTCATCTCTCCAGTCTTGAATTTTAAGCCTTATTCCTCGGATCTCACCTTCCTGTTGGACTCTTGTTTTTGAGGTCGGATATGAAGAATCAACAGTTCCCCAGCAGCACTTCCTCAAAGGCCCATGGTGGTGGTGCCTGTTCCCAGTCCCAAGGTGGCACTTTCTCTCCATTGCACGATCTCTCCTCACAGTCTCCAGGCACATCCAGTTCCTCCACCAGCACAGTGCCATCTTCCAGCCAGTCCTCACATTCCAGCTCTGGGACGCTGAGCTCTTTAGAGACAGTGTCCACTCAGGAACTCTGTTCTATTCCTGAGGACCAAGAACCCGAGGATCCTGGTCCTGTCCCATGGGCTCGGTTATGGTCTCTTCAGGATGGATTCTCCAATCTAGGTAAGACATTTTGGTATATATTGGAGTGTATTGTTCAGAGAAACAGAGGTGATGGTTAGGCTGTTGCAACTGAAATCTCAGGGCCCTGTGACTGGTAAGGCTTGTCTGATAGGACACCCTTTGGACAATTTTACATCGTACCCGCCTCCCAGACTGCGCACACGTTCCCTATTCTGAAGCCTAGCTAATGCCTAAAAGACAATGCTCTGTTTCCACCCAGTCCCTTCAATTCCTCTTCTCTTAGCAAATTCTTGAGATTTTAGGAACCCACTCCAAACATCCCTTCCCTATGAAGCTGTTCAGTTTCTCTTCCTTTGGACTCTAACAAATGCCTTCCATCCCTGATAGCTGAGGAAATTGTGTGTCCTTTATGAACTCAGGGCAGCTCTGGTTACACAAGACCCTATGAGTGCTAGAGAGCTTACACTGAGCTACATCTGTTGTCCTATCCCTAGCTACCTTATTTTTATTTTCAAATAGAATCTTTTTCTTTTTTTTTTTTTCTTTTTTTTTTTTTTCAGAGAAAAGTTCTCATGTAGCCTGGGTTGACTTGAACTCACTAACTCTCTATGTTGCTGAACCTGGCTTTGAACTCTTGATCTTCTTGCCTCTAATATATTATATTATATTTTATATATATATATATATATATATATATATAATTTATTTATTGTGTATAGTGTTCTGCCTGCAGATAAACATGCAGGCCAGAAGAGGGCACCAGATCTCATTACAGATGGTTGTGAGCCACCATATGGTTGCTGGGTATTGGACTCAGGACCTCTGGAAGTACAGCCAGTGCTCTTAACCACTGAACCAACTCTCCAGTCCTCTGACTCTACTTTCCAAGTGTTGACATTATTGGCATACTTCACTAGGCTCTACTCATTTTTTTTTTTACCCCTCGAGATAGGATTTCTCTGTGTAGCTTTGGAGCCTGTCTTGGAACTAGCTCTTGTAAACCAGGCTGGCCTTGAACTCACAGAGATCCACTGCCTCTGCTTCCCAAGTGCTGGGATAAAGGAGTGTGCCACCATCCCTGGGCTACTAATTTGTTTTTGAGATAAATTCTGCAGCCCAGGTAGGCTCGCAATTCACTGTGTAGTTCCTCATGGCCTTGAGTTTGCATTAATTTCCTTTCAGCCTACTGAGTAGCTGGGATTACACATATCAACCATATCTGGTTCAAATTTACACATTTGTTTGTGGATATCCAGTTGATCCGGAACTAATTCTGAAAGATATTTGTATTATTCAGGGTTCTCTAGAGGAACATAACTGAAAGAATGAATATATATAATCTATTTATATTTAATTACTTGTCGTTCTTATTAGAGTGGCTTATAGGCTGTGTTCCAGCTAGTCCAACAATGATTGTCCATGGGAGGTCTAGGAATCTAGCAATTGTTCAATCTATAAGGCTGGATGTCTCAGCTGGTCTTCAGTATATACCAGGATCCTGTTGGAGTAGGCTTTAATGCCAGTGAGGGAATGGACTTGCCAGTAAGAGTGAGAGTAAGCAGGAAAGAGAGCAAGCTTCCTTCTTCCATGTCCTTTAGCTGTTAGCAGAAGATGTGGTTTGGGGTAAAGGTAGATCTTACCACCTCAAAAGATCTAGATCTAGGCATTGGTGGTGCCAGGAAGCACTGGCAGACAGAGCTCTTAAGTTTGAGGCCAGCTTGGTTTTCTAGATTGAGTACCAAGATAGCCAGGGCTACAGAGAAAAATACTGTCTTGAAAAACGAAAACCACACCCCCATCCCGACCAGAAAAAAAAATTACAAGGGGATTTATTAATTTGGCTTATACATTATGATCTGAATAGTCCATTAATAGTTCTCTTCATGCCAGGCAGTGATGGTGCACGCCTTTAATCCTAGCATTTGGGAGGCAGAGGCAGGTGGATCTCTGTGAATTCGAGGCCAGCCTGGTCTACAAGAGCTAGTTCCAGGACAGGCTCCAAAGCTACAGAGAAACCCTGTCTTGAAAAACAAAAACAAAAACAAAAACAAAACCAACAATAACAAGAATAGTTCTCTTCATGATGCAGAGACAGAGCCTAGTAGCTGCTCAGTCTGCAAGACTGGATGTCTCAGCAGTTCTAGTTTGGTATTGACAGCTTGGAGGATTCCGAGAGAGCTGGAGGTCAAAGAAGCAGCAAAGATTGGCAGCAGAAATAATGGGATAGATGCACTTAGCAGCAAGAAGTAGTAGAAAGCAAGCAAGCAAACAACACTGTTTCCCCTTCTTTTTCTTTCTTTTTTTCTTGTTTTTTTGAAACAGGGTTTCTTTTCTGTGTAGCTGTGGCTGTCAGCCTGAAACTCATAGAGATCCGCCTGCCTCTGCCTCCTCAGTGCTGGGATTAAAGGTGTGCACCACCACTGCTTGACTTCCTTGGACTTGTTCTGTTTTGGCTCACAGAAAGGGCCACTCACTCTGCAGTAAGTCTCTTCCTTTCAGTTATTTCTCCATAGATTCATGCAGAGGTCTGTCTCTTAGTTTTCAGGTTTCTTCAGGTTGACAATCAATGTTGACCATTACAGTATTTCATCTGTAGCCAGGCCGGCTTACCATCCTCCAATCTCAGCCTCCTGAATGCAAGGATTATAGTTGTTTCAGTATACCCAGCAAGAATGAACAGTTAATAGCCATGTTATCTTTAATCTATGACTGTGTGGCATCTTCCCAGAGTTTAGTCTGAATTTAGTCTAGCTTCTTTGTACAATGTTTTATACATTTCAATATATAAGTCTTACTCTCTTTTTTGTTTTATGAAACCTAGGCTGACCTGGAACTTGCTATGTGTGTTAGGCTGGCCATGAATCTCAACCTGCTGCCTGTACCTCTCAAGTGATAGAATTACCACTATGCCTGACTTTGCTTTTTGGAGATAGAGCCTTAGTCTGTAGCCTATCCTAGCTTGGAACTCACTAAATAACCTATTGTAGCCTTGGATTCATAGGAGTTCTTCCTTGGGCCCCTGCATGCTGGGATCACAAGTGTGGTTTATAGACATAACTACTACACCTTGCTAATATATTTTAAGCAATTCTGAACCTGCATTTATAAGGGATATTGGTGGTGCGCTGCTACCGCATGGAGCTGCACTCTTGAATAAGATGTCAGGAGACAGTAGACAAGGAATTAAAATTAAGGGCCCATCTTTGCAGAGTATCAGTGCAGGGTATTGTTATGATAATAGGTAAGGTAGTGAAATGGAGGTCTGCTTGTGTGGAAAGCCTAGGGGAGATGTAGTCCAGACTCAGTTTTGGACTTTCATGTGAGTACACATGCAAGAGGAGAGAGAGAGCGTTGTGTGATGCTGTTCTTAGGGAAAGTGAACGCAAGAGGAGAGAGGGAGCAGGGGGTGTTGTGATCCTGTTCCTGGGAAAAGTGAACAATTGTTGGGAACTGATGATGACAGGACAAAGTATGGATTGCACCGAAGTCCAAGAGGGTGAACTAATAAGTTTTATTGGAGTTACTTATAGAAATATGGATGAGAGGTTACTTACAGAAGCAGAAATGTCTCAAAGACAGCCGCATCACCAAAGGTTCATCCCAGCATGGGTAACAGCTCACAAAGCTGGGAACCTAGAGCACACCGCACACAGCCTGTGGGCAGCTCAGCAGGTTGGAGGGTGTCCTATCCCAATGGCTCAGTTGGTCTCTGCCTCTTCCAGGCATCTTGTCTGGTGTTTGTTTCTTCTGGGCACCTTGATGGTCTGGGAGTCTTCTTTGCTGCTTGTTTTGTCTTTTGGGGAGAGAGAGATTTAGGGAATCTGGTCAGAAGTTATTTTGATTTGTTTACTTTCTGCCTTAAGGAACTTCCTTACAGTATGGAGTTGTTTTTTCTTTAAAGCAACCTATTGTTGGGAGCAGGAGAGATGATTCAGAGGTTAAGCTGCTCTTGCCAGAGGACCTAGGTTTAATTGCCAGTACCCAGCTGGCAGCTCAGAACTGCCTGTTAAGTCCAGTTCCAGGGATCTAACATCCTCACACAGACATACACACAGGCAAAGCACCAATGCCTATAAAGTACAACTGTAAAAAATCATTAAAAGAAAGGAAGAACCCATTATTTTGCCTATATATATATATCTCCTTTGCTAAAATATCCTGTCGTTTCACCCCACTTTTTGCATCCTGTGACTTAAAGTGATTCACTCCAAGGTGGATGTTTTACTCTTTGAGGAAGCTGCTACACAACAGCAGTGCGTGGCTTGCTTGGGCAGTGAAATTGAGACAGTGGGGCTGGGAGTAGTTAGCAAGGGGAGTGGTATCTGCTGGTGGAGGCAAGTGCCTAGACCTGTGTGTCTGGCAGGCCATGAAGACTGTAGATTTTATACTGAATGTAATAGGAAGCCTCAGAAAGGTAATATGCAGGAAATTAGATACAATTATTTTTCAAAATCAAAATTATTTGAGATGTTTTAATGACTGCTTTTCATTTCATGGTTACGTAAAAGCCACCAGCTACTTAACCCTGTTAAAGTGTTACAGCCTGTTGTGGTGGCACATGCCTGCAATCTTGGCATGTGGGAAGCTGAGGCAGAAGGATCAGGAGTTCATGGTTAGCCTCAGCTACAAAGCAAGTTCAAGTGCAGGTGAACTATGTGAGACTCTCAAATAAACAGATAGGGCTAGAGATGTGGCTCAGCTGGTGAAGCACTTGCCTAGTCTGCACAAAGCCTTGGCTTTCACCCCTAGCGCCACATAAATGGGAGTGGTTGGCCCTGTTTGCAAACCCAGTACCAGGGAAGTTAAAGGCATATGGATTAGAAATTTAAGGTCATCCTTGGCTACATAGAGAATTAGAAGCCAGCTGAGAGTGTATGAGACCCTGCCGCAAACACCACCTAACCACACCCCAAAACCTGCAATAAAATGAAGCAATTGTTGTATGATTGTCCCCCCCCCCTTTTTAAATTTTTTTATTTTTTAGTTGTTGCTGGGGATTGAACCCAGGGCCTTGACTATGCTAAGTACACACTGATCTACATCTTAGTGTTCCCCAATATTTAATTTTAGAGGTTTTGGGGATCACATCTATACTTTTGATTGCTTTCTTACACACTTCTTTTTTGACAGTCTTTCTGTGTGGGTAAGAGTGGCCTTGAGCTTGTCCTCTTGTGAGCCTTCCAAATGCTGGGGTCACATGTGCACCTCTTCACAGAACTGGTTCCTCCCTACAATTAGCACTATTGAATGTTTAGTGTATGAACTTCCAGTCCTCTGCTATGTGCTTTTGTATTAACAGACTGTGTTAGTGACAACTACTGGTTTGGGAGGGATAAAAGCTGTGAGTATTGCTTTGATGGACCACTGCTGAGAAAGACTGAGAAGTATCGGACGTACAGCAAGAAGCACTTCCGTATTTTCAGGGTAGGTGAAGATCATTGCTCTTGGGTGTCTTGCAGTATTAATCCCTGCTGTTCAAACATGGAAATTAAGCAGGGTGTTGGTGCTGGTGGTGCACACCTTTGATCCCAGCACTGGGGAGGCAGAGGCTGGTGAATCTCTATGAGTTCAAGGCCAGTCTGGTCTGCAGAGTGAGTTCCAGGCCAACCAAGGCTGTTACAGAGAAACAATGTCTTGAAGAACAAAAAAAAGAAAAAAAGAAAAAGAAAGAAAGAAAGAAAAGACCAGCAACAACAAAAACCCATAGAAATTAAATGTTTTCTATTTCAGGAAATGGGCCCTAAAAATTCTTACATTGTGTATATAGAAGATCACAGTGGGAATGGAACCTTTGTAAACACTGAGCTCATAGGAAAAGGGAAACGCCGTCCTTTGAGTAACAACTCTGAAATCGCACTTTCTTTGTGTAGAAATAAAGGTAATGTTATTCTCATACTGTTAATGGGCTTTCTTTAATTTCTCTGTAAAGGGAGATTTTTGTGTCTTCATAGATTATGCTTTAAATCAGTCAGATTAAGTTAGCATTCAGTAGCATTCAGGAGTTAACTCCCTTGCCTGAATTGTGTTTTTAATTTGTTTTTGAGACAAGGTCTCACTATATGGCTGTCCTGGAATTTCGTGCTTAGATCAGGCTGGTCTTAAACTCAGAGATCTGCCTGCCTCTACCTCCTGAGTGCTGAGTTTTTTCTGTGAGTGTGTGTGTTTGTGTGTTTGTGCAGGTGTGGAAGCCAGGGGGTAATATAAGATGTCTTATTTTATCTCATCTCCAACTTATCTATTTACATTTATTTGTATATGTGTGTGTGTGTGTATGTGTGCATGCAAGAGAGAGAGAGAAGAGAGAGAGATTTTTTGTGTGTGCATGCAGACTTAGATGTTATGTATATAGGGTCAGAGAACAACTGTTGGGAGTTGGTTTTCTTCCACTGTGTGTTCTGGGGTTCAAACTCAAGTCGTTAGACATGCATAGCAAGTTATATTACCTACTGAGCTCTCTTGCTGAGTCATGGATTAAAAACAATTCGCTTTGGTCAGGCAGTGGTGGCCCACATCTTTAATTCCAACACTTGGGAGGCAGAGGCCGGTGGATCTCTGTGAGTTCAAAGCCAGCCTGGTCTACAGAGGAAGTTCCAGAATAGTCCGGGCTGTTTTACAGAGAAACCCTGCCTTGAACAACAAAAACAAAAATAAACAAAAAATTTATTTTGTATTACATGATAAATATAGTTCTTTATATTCTGTTTAGTTAAACTTTAGAACCAGTTTTCTAACCATGAATTAACAAGGCCATTTCTGTCCTTTTCCCCCATAGTTTTTGTATTTTTTGATCTGACTGTAGATGATCAGTCAGTTTATCCTAAGGAATTAAGAGATGAATACATCATGTCAAAAACTCTTGGAAGGTAAACTTTGTTTTTCTTTGTATAATAAACTGAACCTCATTTTTTCTTATGGTTAGTTTTTCGTACCTGATTTTACAATATTGTTATTTATAATGTAGCTGTTTGTTGAACTTTGTGGTAGATGTATTACTGATTTATTCGACAATGGTCAATTTAAATAAACTTCTTTTCTTTATAAATTTTAGTGCTTGGATTAGCTTGTGCCACTAGGGCCGTATTCATTGATAACTCTGTGTGTGTGTGTGTGTGTGTGTGTGTGTGTGCCCATGTGTCCATATGCATGTGTATGAGGATAGTTGCGTAAGTAGTCCTGAGGTCAACATCTTCTTCAATGACTTCCCACTTTATGTTTTGTAGCTCACTGAACCTGGAGCTCGCTGACTAAGCTTATGTGACTGACTAGCAAACCCTTAGGATGCTCCTGTCTTTTCCTCATAAACAGTGGGTTTAGAGACAAGCTTCTTATGTAGGCTCTGGGAATCCAAACTCTGGTCCTTGTGTTTGTAGAGCAAACATTTTATAGACTGAACTGTCTTCCAGCTCTTTATTTTACTGGAATTGATTAAGTAATTTTTGAGATAGAATCTCACTTTGTTGCTCTGACTGGCCTAGAATTCACAGAGATTCTCTTCTATCTCCTAAGTGGTTGGATTAAAGGTGGGCACCACCATTCCTGGCCCGTTTATTTTTTTCATGTAGCTTACCCTGGCTTCAAAATTGCTATGCAGTCAAGGACAGTCTTGAACTTGACACTCTTGCCTCAACCTTCCCAGATAGGATTCCAAGCCTGCCTCACAATGCGTAGCTATTGACTTTTGAGAAAAAGCTTTTCATGACCTGTGATTCATGGAACATATAATTCACATATGTGTGTGCACTCATGCCACAGTGGAGGCCAGAGGACAACATGCAGGGGTCAGTTCTCTCCTTCTACCATGTGATCATTTTTTTTTTTTAATCTAGAACTTTACTCATTTTATTTGGTTAAAGTTTAGGGTCAATGATTTTTAGCTGGTGTTCTTGGGACACCTTAGGGAATCCAGAATTAATTAAAGGGGTAAATTTTGGAGAACGTATCATTTTTATATATTTATCAAAAGTTGGTAAATTCATGTTTTTGTGCATATTGACAAAATCCATGGCTATCATCTGTGGATATCACCAACATTTCTATGCCAATTTACAGTTGCCAAAATATCACTGTTGCTAGACCCTACTGTGTTCATAATGGAATACATATTAGTATTTCTGTTGTTTAGTTCATTGTTTTAATTAATTAATTAAATTGCATTAATTAATTTTTGCTTGCCAATTCCAGTTCCCCAACCCTCCTTTCCTCCTGCTCCCCCAACCTTCCCCCTACCTCACCTCCCGAAATGCTTTTCAGAGAGGGTAAGACTTCCCCTGGGAGGTCAACTATGTCTGTCCAATCTCCTCGTTTAGGGAGGACCAAGCTTCCCCCCTTCCCCCTGCCCCTGGTCCCATGTGTCTAGGCTGAGTAAAGTATCACTCCAGAGAGAACAGGTTACACAAAGTCAGTTCATGCATTAGGATTAGCTCCTGGTCCTACTGCCCAAGCCATACCATGTCACCTGCATTCAGGGTAATAGTTCAGTCATATACAGGTCCCTCAGTTGTCGGTCTGGTGTCAGTGACCTCCCACTTGCTCAGGTCAAATGATTCTGTGGGTTTCCCCATCATGGTCTTGATCCCTTTGCTCATATTATCACTCCTTCCTCTCTTCGATCGTTCTCTAGGAGCTCGGCCCAGTAGTTGTGGATCTCCACATCTGCTTCCATCTGTTTCTGGAAGAGGGTTCTAGCTTCACTGGGATTGTAGACAGTAGGCTGTTTATCCTTTTTCTGAAATCCACTTATGAGTGAGTACATAATATATTTGGGTCTAGATTATCACACTCTGGATGTTTTTTTCTAGTTCCATTCATTTGTCTGCAAATTTCAAGATGTCATTGTTTTTTACAACTGAGTAGTACTCTATTGTGTAAATGGATCACATTTTCTTTACCCATTCTTTGGTTAAAGGGCATCTGGGTTGTTTCCAGGTTCTAGCTATTATAAATAATGCTGCTATGAACATAGTTAAGCCAATGTCCTCATGGTGTGAGGGTGCCTCCTTTTTGGGTATATGCCCAAAAGTGGTATTGCCGGGTCTTGTAGATTGATTCCTAATTTTCTGAGAAATAGCCATACTGATCTCCACAGTGGCTGTACAAGTTTACACTCCCACCAGCAATGAAGGAGTGTTCCCCTTACTCCACATCTTCTCTAGCATAAACTGTCATCAGTGTTTTTGATCTTTGTCATTCTGACAGGTGTAATATGGTATCTCAGGGTTGTTTTGATTTGCATTTCTCTGATGACTGATGATGTTTAGCATTTCCTTAAGTGTTTTTCAGCCATTTGAGATTCTTCTATTGAGAATTCTATGTAGATCTGTACCCCATTTTTTAATTGGATTATTTGATAGTTTGAGGTCTACTTTTTTGAGTCCTTTGTACATTTTGGAGATCAGTCCTCTGTCAGATGTGGGATTGAAGATCTTTTCCCATTCTGTAGGCAGCTGTTTTGTCTTGTTGACAGTGTCCTTTACTTTACAGAAGCTTCTCAGTTTTAGGAGTCCCATTTATTAATTGTTGCTTTCAATGTCTGTGCTACTGCTGTTATATTTAGGAAGTGATCTCTTGTGCCCATGAGTTCAAGGGTGCTTCCCATATTCTCTTCTATGAGGCAGCCCAGGCTAGCCTTGAACTCAGAGATCTGCCTGCCTCTGCCTCCTGAGTGCTGGGATTAAAGGCCTTTGCCACCACTGCCTGGCTCTATTTGCATTCTTCTACATGTTGACATCCAGTTATACCAGCACCATTTGTTGAAGATGCCTTCTTTTTTTTTCCATTTTATAGTTTTAACTACTTTGTCAATAAACAGTTGTTCATAGGTATGTGGGTTAATATCAGGGTCTTCCATTCAATTTCATTGGTCCACCTGTCTGTTTTTATGCCAATACCAAGCTGTGTATAGAACTACAGTCAGGGATGGTGATGCTTCCAGATGGTACTTTATTGTACAGGGTTGTTTGGACTGTCTTGGGTTTTTTAGTTTTTTCATATGAAATTTAGTATTGTTCTTTCGAGGTCTGTGAAAAATTGTGCTTGGATTTTGATGGCTTTTGCATTGATTGGTTTTGGTAACATTGTCATTTTCCTGTATTAATCCTCCCAACCCATGAGCATAGAAAATCTTTCTATTTTCTGATATCCTCTTTAATTTTGTTCTTCAAAAACTTAAAGTTTTTGTCATACAGGTCTTTCACTTGTTTGGGTAGAGTTACCCCAAGATATTTTATGTTGTGTGGCTCTTGTAAAAGGTGATGTTTCTCTGATTTTTTTTCTCATACTGTTTATCATCTGTATATAGGAGAGCTACTGATTTTTTTTTTTGAGTTTATCTTGCATCCTACCACATTACTGAAGGTGTTTATTATCAGCTGTAGGAGTTGGTAGAAAATTCCCTGGTAGAATTTTTAGGGTCACTTACGTATACTATTATATCATCTGCAAATAGCAAAATTTGACCTCTTTCTTTCCAGTTTGTATCCCTTTGATCTCCTTTTGTTGTCTTATTGTTCTAGCTAGGACTTCAAGTAGTATATTGAATAGATATAGAGAGAGTGGACAACCTTGTCTTGTTTTTGATTTTATTGGAATCACTTTGAGTTTCTCTTCATTTTGTTTGATATTGGCTGTTGGTTTACTGTACATTGCCTTTATTATGTTTAAGAATGTTCCTTGTATCCCTGATCTCTCCAAGACCTTTATCATGAAGGGGTGTTGTGATGAAATGATCATGTAGGTTTTTCTTTCAGTTTATTTTTATGGTGATTACATTGATGGATTGTCATATGTTGAACTATCCCTTCACTTTTGGGATGAAGCCTACTTGATCATGGTGGATGATGTTTCTGATGTGTTCTTGAATTCGGTTTGTCAGTATTTTATTGAGTATTTTTGCAGTAATATTTTTCTCCCCTGTATGTAAAAGCAAAGAGCCTTTATGTAACATGAGGGGGCCTGCTTGTTGGGGTATCTGTCACACTTGGTACTCCACAGCTGGCAAACCCCAAAGAAAATCACACAGAGATCTCCATAAGTTATAAAACTGATTGACCCTTAGCTCAGGCTACTTATTAGCTCTTATAACTTACATTAGCCCATTATTTTTGTCTATGGTAGCCACACGGCTTAGTACCTTTCTCAGACAGGCAGGTTACATCTTGCTTCTTGGTGGTCTGGGCAGGAGTAGGGAGGGAGCTTCCTGCTTCCCAGAATACTCCCGTTCTCTTTTCTCCACCTCTACTTCCTGTCTGGTTTTCCCACGTATACTTCCTGCCTGGCCAATCAGCATTTATTTAAAATAAACAGACTGTCAGAATACAGACAATTCTCCCGCATCACCTTTATTTTATGCAAGTTTGCAAACTCAGTCTCTCTGCATGTCCACCACATTGGAATAAACAGAGAACCCCAAGCTCAGTTAGAATTGGGTTTATATAGTAGTAAAGGTGGGGGTGAGGGGTTTCTGAGGTTCAGGACCTCTGATTGGCTGACATTTGTCTAGGGGTGTCCTGGTGAGTGTGAGCTGACAGGTGGTGGTCCTATCTACAGCAGTTAGAATGTTAGGTATTTCCTTTGGATGGTCTGATTTTGGGTGGTGGTTGGGTAATCTCAGCTTGTGGTTCTTCCTGAAACCAGGTATTGCTTCAGGATTTACTGAGACTCAGACCTATTAAATTTTTTGATGGCTGAGTCCTACACTGGCAGGTGAAAATGGTTGGAAGTTAAGAACTTCCTTTGGGTGATCTGTTCATATTTAGCTTATCATGGCTGGCTCCTACATTTTTCCTTCACAAGCACAGATGACAGGACCCAATCTTGGGTCCTGCTTGCCCTAGGTTTTAAGGAGGTATCGAACTATTTACATTAA